AACTCTATCACTGTGATGAGGTTATACTGATGAGGTTGACAAGATTAGTGTCTTAATGCAATCTCTTTTGAGATATAAAAGAGAGAAGCGAGCAGAGACACATAGGAACCTCGTACCACCAAGAAAGCAGTGCCGGGAGCTGAGCATGTCCTTTGGACCTGAGGTTCCTGCGCAGAGAAGCTCCCAGACCAAGGGAAGACTGATGACATGGACCTTCCTCTAGAGCTGATGGTGAAAGCTTTCTCCTGGAGCTGAAGCCCTGACTTGGACTTGTAGCCTACCGGACTATGAGAGAATAAACTTGTCATTGCTAAATCCATCCACTTGTGGTATTCCTGTTAGACCAGCACTAGATGACTAAGACACTACCCTTTGGCCCCCCCAAATTCATGTCCTTGCCACATGTAAAACATATTCACCCCATCATATCATAGCAAAAGTCTTAAATCAACTCCAAGTCCAAAATCCAGAAATTCTTCCTCATCTGTGAAATCTAGAATACAAGTTATCTGCTTCCAAAGTACAATGGTGCAAGGTAAACATTTCCATTACAAACAGGAGAAATTGGAGGGAAAGAAGGCATAACAGGCACCAGGCAAGTTAGCAGAACACATTACATTAGCCCTCAAGTCTTTGAAAACAATCCTTTCTTCTCTGAGACCATTTATACAACGGCCTTGCCCTCCAGACTCTAGGTATTGGCCATACTCTCCAGATTCTGAGTGGAGGCCCCTCGGCCCTGGGCTTCAGCTCTGCCTTCCAGGCCCACTGGGACGGCAACTCGGATCCCTGGGCTTCAGGTGCGCCATTCTCCTAGTCCATCTGAGTAGCAACTCCACCCTTAGAAACACCAGACACAATGACTCCACTCTTTGAGACTCCAGAGGTTGTGGCTCTACCTTTTGAAACTGAGGCAGCTCTGCTTCCTGAGTTCTTTGTCTCTTCAGCTGTCTGCCTCCCATGTCTGCCCTGTGGGGGCAAGTGTTCCAAAGCTCTGTAGCTCCACCAATAAATGCCCGGCGGCATCCCACTCCACCAGGAAGCCTCCTGCCAACCTCCATGCGTGGGTTGGCTCCAGACCTGTCTCTCGCTGGTCTCCTAGTTCTGCTGCTGCCACTTCTCTGCCACTGCTAGTTCTCTGCCCATGCTTCTTGAAGTCTGCGCCTTCTCCAGTGTAATAGCTCTCCTCATTTTCCTTCTGAGTCCACTATTCATTCACAGTTTGAAAACTACTTGCACATTTTAGGTATCTGTTAGAGCAGGACCCCACTCCTGGTACCAAACTCTGTCTTAGTCATTTAGTGCTACTATAACAGAAATACCACAAGTGGATGGTTTTAACAAAGAGAAATCTATTCTCTCACAGTTTAGTGGGCTAGAAGTCCAAATTCAGGGAGTCAGCTCTAGGGGAAGGCTTTCTCTCTCTGTTGGCTCTGGAGGAAGGTCCTTGTCATCAATCTTCCCCTGGACTAGGAGCTTCTCTGCGCAGGAACCCCAGGTCCAAAGGACATACTCTGCTCCCTGCATTGCTTTCTTTCTGGTATGAGGTCCCCCCATCTCTGCTCACTTCCCTTTCCTTTTATCTCTTGTAAGACAAAAGGCAGTGCAGGCCACATGCCAGGGAAACTCCCTTTACATTGGATCAGGGATGTGATCTGAGTAAGGGTGTTATATCCCACCCTTATCCTCTTTAACATAATCTAATCTTGCCTCATTAACCACAGGCAGAGATTAGGATTTGCAACACATAGGAAAAAAATATCAATCACAAAATGGAGGACAACCACACAATACTGGGAATCATGGCCTAATCAAGTTGACACATATTTTTGGGGGACACAATTCAATCCATGACATTCTCCTTCTTCCACTGTAACTAGAAGAGTTACTGAATTCTACTCTCTAGGTACTAAAATGTTCAGAGGATCACCTGCCCAGGCTAAATGGGCTGCTCCTTCGTCCCCAAATATGTCCTACCCACTTAAGCCTCTGTGCTTTTCCCTTTTCTGGAATCCTTCCACCTGTACACGCCTATCAATGAAACCATGTCCATCCTTAAGTGTCCAGTTCAAATACCACCTCTCCACAACATTTCTGATGGTCCCAGCTGGAAGTGACCTTGCTCTGAATTTCCACAGGACTTTATATTACTCACATGACACTTAGCACATACTGTCTTGTTTTGGAATTGCCTCCATAGCTCATTTTCCCAAGCACCTAATAACATTTCTGGAAGGAAGGGTTTGAGTCTTAGACTATATTGAATATCCCCACAGTGCTTTGTATACAGCAGAGTGCTCAATAAACATCCTAAGAACATTATCTTTTTGTACTAAAAACCTGTAGATCAAACATAAAATACCTTTGCAGAACTCTACCTATAGTTTCTGCACATCTGCGTTGTTGTTCGTTTCCACCAAGTTTATCCTGACTCATGGTGACCCCAACTGTGCAGAGTAGAACTGCTCTATAGGGTTTTCAAGGCTGTGACCTTTTGGAAGTAGATCACTAGGCCTTTCTTCTGAGGCACCCCTGGGTGGTTTTGAACCGCCAACTTTTCAGCTAGTAGGTGGGTGCTTGACCATTTGCCCCACCCTATAGGCAGGCTGTACACCAAGTTGGCAGACACCTGAATGACACAAAAGGGGCAAAGGCCTTGCCTCCGTAGTTCCCCCAAACATCTTCCCCCATTGAACAACTACTTACTGCTTGCTTTGAGATTTCCTCCTCCAGAAGCCCTCACTGTTTGCCTCAGACAACACTGACTCTTAAGAGGCCACTGTTAAATACTCATCTGTTACACGGAAGCGATCCAGGGGAGTCCGTGTTTTTCTTCGTCTAAGGTTAATTTATCAGATTTGATGGTTATCACTTTGAAAGGCCCAGAGAAGTGGACTATTAGTGAACAGACACTGTGCAAATATTTCACTTGTGATAAAACTGATTAAAGAGAGGAAACAAGCATCATTAAACCCTGACTTTATAGCCAGCAAGACTAATTTTGAATGATGGAAGTCAAAATTTTATATCTCACACTATGTTTTTCTGGAGCCATCTTCATTTTCAGCCATCTATATTCAGTTATGTCAAAGAGGAAAGAAAAGAAAAATTAGACTCCATTTTATTTTTGCTGGCCTGGCCAGCACCACATGCACTCAATAAACGTTTGTTGAATGAATTTTAAAAAAATGAATTTTTGCTTTCACTTAAATACAATTAATAAAAGGTGCAAATGTCATAGTCTTATATGATGGTCTAAATTTGCACAATCATGGGGAAAGTAGATGCAGTCTTATCTCGAACCAGCAATAGTTTAGATGTCAGATGAGTAACTTTAATTAACATTTTCTGGATCCACCCTTTCTAACCTGTTCAAATACACACTGTCAAAGGCAAGTTAAGCCTTGTAAACATTATTTGTTAGCCTCACATTATGTCACATGACAATATGCATTCAGGTGTTAGAGAGCCAAGACAATCAAGAATTCCAGGAAACGCTCAAGAAAACTAATGACAAAGAGGTTTCCACTGTGAAAACAACGCTATCTCCTGTTTTGGACGATGCCGCGGCAGGTCACAACTACTAACCCTTTAATTTCTTTACCAAAAGGGGAAAATTTTCTTTAGCTTTTCTTGGGAGTGCTTTTAACATAAGCAGAGTATAACAGATACTCAAAGAAGTTCCCATAAAAAGTGATTCTTTTCTTGTTCGTGTTCTGTTGTGTGTATTTTCAACAACAACAACAAATCATTTTTTAAAAAGTGATTATTTTCTTTCAACTGCCTGTGAGTGGAAGCAAGGAAGATTGGGATAGGTTACGTACAGTGATCAAGAGGCTCTCAGTTTCTCTCTCTCCTATTTCAGTATCTTTTGTGAGAAAACAGACTTAAAGCAATACTCTCCTCTCTCTGTTGAAAACTAATAATGGTGAACATGCTTATTTTTTCTTGTTATAAATAATCTTTTGCATTAAAGCTTTTAAAACAAAGTTTTAACATTTTAGAAACTAACATTCAAGACACTTTTCAAGCATAAAAGGATTCTAGACTTGATTACTGGTTGAAAACTCCAACCTAGACCAACAGCAACAAATATTTAGTGATTATATTGTGGTGAAATAAAAAGATCCATGGATTTGTTAAGGAACAAGAACAAAGTAACACACTTAGGAAAACAGGAGGAAGCCTAGAATCACCATAATCAAGCTCGTTCGCCCCCACTTGAAACAATAGAAATGCTGCTAGAGGAAGGGCTGGCCAGGGCTCGTTTTCTGATCTTAAACCGAGCCAAAAATAAATGGGCAGTTCCAACCCCCTTTGATCTTGTTAAATGTATATTTCCAGAGTAAACTGGCGTTGTTAAGGCTGACAATGTTTTCCCAAAGGGCCGGTGAGAAAGACTGAGAGAGTCACGCAACTGCAACTTGAGAAGATGAGTGTTCCTCGCACGGAAATGGAAGGGCTGTGTGGGACACTGGGGACACACACGCGCAGAGCATCTGCGCCAGCTGACATTCGGATGCCGTTAATAAGTTCCCTGCTTATGACAACTGGGTGTCACTTTTTTTTTTTAACTGTAAAATAATCCTGAAGTGAATATGAGTGGAGATTCACCCCCACACTCCCTAGAATCCTTGCGGGAGAAGAGGGTGGATTCAGACTGAAGAGGCAGGATTGTTTGGCACCAAGAGTCCCAGGAATGACCCCACAGAGGTCAGGGCCGCAGACCTGGGCGACCCATTGCAGTGACAGATGCAGTAGAACGGAAGTACCATCGCTCTCCAACAGAGGACTAGTTAAGTCAAGATGTGTAAACATCTTAGGTCAGCTTCCCACTTGGGAAACCCGGGTGTCTTCCTGAGAGTAGGCAGGAAAGCGGCCGCAGAGCAGGAGGCGCCGGGAGCCTTCCCCGTCGCGCGCGGATGGCGGGCTCCGCGGCACCGCCCTGCTCCCCAGCCTGGCGTCGGGGGCGGCGTGGCGGCGGGGCGGCTGGCCCTTACCTGGTTCCTGCGGTACCACTCGCCTGACAGGGAGCCGTTGCCGATGCCAGGCGCCCAGTACGTGAAGTTCCGGGATAGCTCGTCTAGGGCGGCCGAGGCGGCTTCCCCAGAGCCCCCGGAGTCCCCAGGCGCCAGCGCCGCCATTAGGTCACGCTCCGGGGCTCCTCGGACCCGGCTGCACCGCAAGGCTCCGCGGAGATGCGCCCTGCAGAGGCCGCTCCCAGGCCGGCGCCGAAGCCACTTCCTGCTCGGTGCCCCGGCGAGGCGGGCCGCCCAGGC